ACTATACCCCACCACCTACACACTACACCCTATATACACACTGCACCTACACACTACACCCTATATACACACTGCACCTACACACTACACACACTATACACACTGCACCTACACACTATACCCTATATACACACTGCACCTACACACTACACACACTATACACACTGCACCTACACACTATACCCTATATACACACTGCACCTACACACTACACACACTATACACACTGCACCTACACACTATACCCTATATACACACTGCACCTACACACTACACACACTATACACACTGCACCTACACACTATACCCTATATACACACTGCACCTACACACTACACACACTATACACACTGCACCTACACACTATACCCTATATACACACTGCACCTACACACTACACACACTATACACACTGCACCTACACACTATACCCTATATACACACTGCACCTACACACTACACACACTATACACACTGCACCTACACACTACACACACTATACACCTTATATACACCCCCTTTATACACACTACACCCCCTATATACACACACAACATCCCCTGCACCTACACACTACACCCTAAATACACACTGCACCTAAACACTACACACACTATACACACTGCACCTACACACTACACACACTATACACCTTATATACACCCCCTTTATACACACTACACCCCCTATATACACACACAACATCCCCTGCACCTACACACTACACCCTATATACACACTGCACCTACACACTACACCCTAAATACACACTGCACCTACACACTACACACGCTATACACACTGCACCTACACACTACACACACCATACACCTTATATACACCCCTTTATACACACTACACCCCCTATATACACACACAACATCCCCTGCACCTACATACTACACCCTAAATACACACTGCACCTAAACACTACACACACTATACACACTGCACCTACACACTACACACACTATACACCTTATATACACCCCCTTAATACACACTACACCCCCTATATACACACACAACATCCCCTGCACCTACATACTATACACCCTATATACAGGGCCGTCTTTAAGGAGGGGCAAAAGGGGCAGCTGCCCCAGGCCCAGTTACTCCTGGGGGCCCTAAGGCAGCTGCCCCATGGGCCCCCTGCGGCAATCAGGGGCCACAGCCCTTTAATACTGCTCTGGACCGGCCCGGGCCCCTGTTATATGGGGGGTGGCTGACTACATACTTACAGCTAGCCCCCTCACATACTGCCCTGTGAGTCTCTTTGTTTCCTGGGCATGCTGCGAGGCAGTGAGGTCAGATTGCTTCCTCCTCAGTGCCGCTGGGGAGGAGGCACACACCACATGGAGGAGGATGCAAGCATTGTGGGGAAGAGGGACTGAGAAAGCTGATGGCAGACTCCCATCAGCCTGGGCCAGCAAGCTCTCACTGGACACCAGGGAAGCCACCTTTCTGTACCCAAAATGTAAGGAGACAGGAGGGTGGCTAAATATGTTTTGTTTTGCTAATTTCTGATATCACTTTTATTTAAGTGTGTTGGTGTTTGTAATGTAACACACAGGGAATAAGTACATGTTAAAAATCCTAGAAGAACCTGACAGTTCCCTATTAAATATAAATTTTAAAAGTATTTATTTTAACATATTGCATCAAGTGTTATCAAAGGCTGTATACCATTTTCAAATGTCACTTTTGCCAAATTCTGGACCAGGGTATGTAAGAACAGAGTTGAGACATTATATTGGCCAAGGTTGCTGGGAGTTGCTGTCCAAGAGCTGCTAGAAGGCAGAGATTAAAATATGTAAATGTACACATATGTGTGTGTGTGTATCTGGCTGTGTTTATGTCCTTGTGTGTATCTGGCTGTGTTTGTCTGTGTGTTAGTGTTTCTGTGTGTATGTATACCTCATACACCTGTATGTGCACCTGTGTGTGTGTTTCGGTGTGTGTGTAAGTGTGCATCTGAGTGTGTGGTAATGCATACATCCCAGCATTTTAATGCCAACACAAATACACTCCTACATTCCATCTCTAGCACTGTACACATATACACCCCTGCATTTATACCTTTATGTATGTGTGTATCTGAGTGTGTGTATATACCTGTGTCAGTGTGTGTGTGTATGTGCCAGTGTGTGTATATCAAAGTGCTTGTATCTGTGTGTCAAAGGGTGTGTATCTGAGTGTGTGTGTGTATGTGTATGTGCCAGTATGTGTCAAGGTGTGAGCATGTGTCAGCGTGAGCATGTGTGTATCTGCGTGTTAATGTGTATGTGTATATATGTTATAGAAATCAAACAACATGCAAACAGGCCTCTGCAAACACAAACATTACAAACACACCAGTTTGCTGAAACACTAATACTACACACAAATGTACACATGTATTTAAAAGACAACACTACATCCAAACACCCCCCTGCATGCAAATACAAACATTACATGCAAACACATTCCTGTATTAAAACGCTAAAATTATATACAAACGCCAACTCTACACACAAAAGTACACATGCATTTAAAAGCCAACACTACAAACAATCACACATCCCTGCATTAAAATGCAAACACTACACACAAGTACACCACTGCATTCCAATGGTAACAGTACATACAAATACACCCCTACATGCACACATACACTCTATACAATAACATGCTGACATTCATTTGCACAAACACTGCTCAAAAATACAACCCTGCAAGGATGGTAGATCCCCAGCTGGCATAGCATCGCAGGAGTTGTATGACAGATGGGGATCTATCTTTTCTTTACTCTTGTGCTACAGGGCAGGCCTGAATTTTTTGTTGTTGCACCAAGGCACTCTCTACATTAGTTTCGCCTCTAGGTTGGGGTGGAGGGGGTGATTGCATGCCGAGGGGGCCCAAACAGATGCTTGCCCAGGGTCCAATCAATATTAAAGACGGCC